TCGTATTATGATCAACATGCAATCGTTTTCATGTTCAACAAATCTATACGGTTCAACCACTTTAACCACCTTAGGGCAAAATGTATAAATTTTCAAAGAGCAACATATTTATAATAGTCCGGAAATAATATTCGTCGGAATAATAAGAAATAACTCGTATCAATATTTATTCATTATAATTTTAAATCCATTATAATATAAAAACGTTTGCGAAAATCATAGTGGAATTTTTGAAACTGTAATATACGAGTATATTATTCAAATTCGTATACCTTACTATCGGGTACCTAACCTAACCGTAGGGAAATGCAATATTGCTTAAAAATTATAATTGTTCGTTGAATATGGTTATTTATATATATATATATTTGCACGAAAATATRTATGTGTAGGTACCTATTTATCTAATTTCCTATTAATCTAATGTGATAATGCTATATATATAGTAGATATTTAATATTTACACATAATATATACAGTTCAGTTGAATTTAATTGGTAGGTGTGGGTTAATAATTTTAAACTGTATACTGTATTAAAATAACAATATTGCATGTTTGTACGATTTCTTATGAAAGAAAACACGTGTGCTAGATATAAAATATTCTTGGCGTCTTTATTGGCAGATATTAATTGGAATTTAACAGGAAACGACATCTGATATAGCTTGAAAGTGCTTCAAATGTATATATTATAGAAACAATAAGGATCGCCAGTTCCTTACAACTCTTCTTTTTAATTGTCATTCTATATACTGTTGTAGGTACTTAACTTTAATGTACCAACACGAAGTGTTAGGATCAATAAAACGTTTGCTGTTATTTACGCTCGTTGCTTTATATGGTATGAAATTATGGGAAATTAATTTATCAGTATAAATAGGAGCAGAAGTGCTACAAGGCCTATATTACAATAAAATATAGAATGGTGGATCTTCGTTCGACATTAAGTGTGGAAATAAGATTTAATCTAAAATTTTGTTGATTTTTTTGTACCCACTCCCGGCGATTATCGAAGYTGATAAGACGGAGTTACAACAGTTAGAACTACCGAAAACATGTTTAGACCGTCTTGAAAATTAGGAATGACTGACGAAAAAGTATGGATGAATACAGCCACAACAAATAGGTGTCATTTGTCATTATACAACAATAAGTAAACGTAATTCCRCAGTTAATGATGATAGTCGATATTATTATTTTCTTAAAGTTTGTTTGGCAGATATTCGGACACCATTCACTCCATTTTTAGATGTTTCAAACAGACTCATTTTACGATTCATATTTGGAATCGCTAGGCCTATGCACAAAATAGTAATAATAACCTTACGAAACATACGCTTGTATAAATKTATATAATGCCTATATTTATCCGAATATAAGTAGTCGAAAAACGTTAACAGACAATTTCTTAACATCGCTGAAATCATTATTTTTACCGATGTTGCGATCAATATACATATACGGAGTTATAATACAGATTTTACAAAAATTGTATTTTATTTTTTGTTTTCARCCATGAATTCACTAAAATTTGATACCATAAGGATAAAATATATTTTAATTCGTAGTTTAATAATTTGGATAAGTAAACTACAACTACATTTTAATATAGGAGTATAAACTATTTAAAAATGCATATTTACTCTTCACTTACAAACTGTATAAAAATCTATTCGTTATAATTATCACGAATAAGTTTAGGATATTTATTTTTTTCATATTTTGTTGGTTTTTTAACGACCATATAGCAATATAGTACCTACGCCATTTGTTTTTTTTTTTTAAGAACTAAAACAAAGTCATCTAATTCAAATTTAATATTTCTAGTATAAATGGAAAATGTATTTGTAATATAAATATTTTGTNATCCAGAGGTTTTAGGGTTTTAGCACCCTAGTTTTGAAATAAGCACCCTCATAATGTATATTGTATGCTATATGTCAAGTGTCAACTAACTGAAAAAATAAGGGGCTCCAGCACCCCCAGTTTTTTCATTGAAATTGCGCCACCGATCACAATGGTCAGTATAACGGTCAGTGTCAAACAGGAAATTAAGGAAACTGATCATGTTTATATAGTTGTGTGTATAACGTATATGGTACCAGGATTGATGTGTCATTTAAATATAATAGCATAGATTATTATTATTATTATTATCTAGTTTGACAATTTTTTTCTTAAACAAAATTTATCTACTATGATAGTTATACCATGTTGCAAGGGCAGTTTGGACGCTGGGTCTACCTATATTCGGAGTGCTGCTGTAAACTAGTAAACTTAAGCACTTACAACATTGATAATTATGAATAAYAATAAATCAGAAGTTTAAATAAAATACGTACTTCTTCAACTATTTTAAACATGGWCATTTTGATACTTTTTATAAACGAATCATATATTATTGTGGACATATATTTTGATCTATTTTGATATAGACATTTTCATTTAATTTTTAACTCGGCAAAAACTCTTTATTGTTTAAGTAAATGCATAAAAATGCTTAAATTAGAAAATATTTAGAAGAAGCATGCAAAAGTGTAACAAAAAATATACGTATCTTCATATTAAAATGTTTTATTGATTAAAGAAAATGATATCATTAGAAAGAATCACTAAAATAATTTAAAATAAGACGAGGAATTTCGCCCACTCTCCCTCCGCATCATACCATTATTCAAGCACTGAACTACCAGTAGGATAACATCATTGGTTGCTTAGTAAATTATTTACATTTCAGTTATAATAATTGTTTGTTTTCCACCGATACAATATAGAGTACAACAGGCATTTGATAATACGCCCAATATGAATGTAGACTATGCAGCAATATTGTTGCAATGCCGTATAGTCGTTATGTTGCTGTTTATATACGTTAAACACACAAGCGGTGAGACATATATAATAACATGCGAAAAATAAGTTTTGGCTCAGATTTTGTTCGCATTATATTAATGTTACATTAAAATATRCATATGTCTAGTTCTTGTTATGAAAAATATTAATATTTAAACATAAAAACTAATATGCTGACCAAGTGTCATGCAAATTAATTACACGGAGTAACAGGGAAAATTTAATTTCTAACTGTTGAGAGTGGATTTATAAATTTAATCTTGATAGTAGATTGTATATTATGCAACATCCGAATTCAGAAAAATATTTAGCTTTTTATCTTTA